TTTAACCCTTTCGCGACTAGCGCCGGTTATATCCGGCATCCACTAAGCGCGTCGCATTCGCTCGCGCCTCGACAACTCAAAGTGAAGATTTATTTTAAAATACAGAACAAGGCCTCAACAACATTCCCTTTATCCGATACACCCTTAAGTCCTTTGCTGTTCCAACGAAATCCTCTAAGATTTGAAAAAACGCGAGACACTCTTAATGTGCATGGTGTGCACTAATGGCACGACGACCCGTTCGTTAGTGGCGTACCGAAAGGGTTAAGAACCTGTGTTCTGGTGTAATTTTTCATCAACTTTCTCTCTTTCTTCAAATTTTCCCCACCGTTTCATTTTATCGATACGTAAACAATTTTGTAAATGACTGCATCGTGGTGCACCAGGGTTCCCAGAAATATCTATCAACCAGTGACCAAACTGCACTAATTTCATTGGAACGGAGCAGAATACAATTCTAGCCCGAGCAATTTCCCCGGAACGGTCGATGTCTTAATTAACTTAATGTTAATTCACTTGCGGATATTAGGAATTTTCGCGAATACCGGCAGCGTGTCACGTGGGTTCGTTTATCGGATATTTTACGTTCACACTAATATTGGTGTTCTGAAAGGGAGAAAGGAATGTAGATGCTCGATTTAACACGAGACCTTCGTACAGCAATAGCGCCGGCTTTTAATAATATGCAAATTACAGGGGAAGGGGGGTAATTCTACTAAAAAAAAAATATGTACCTCGGAAAAACGGGGAATTTTATTTTATATACGCACACATCTCCGATTGTGTCATCGATTTTCTCGCAGAAGGAAGTTCGGTAATTCGAAAATTCGAAGAAATTTGAAACTTTGCAGAAATGCAGTTCAATTGACGCCGATAACTTCAAAGATGCTTTTTTCTAATTTATCACTCTTGATTTTTTGAAAATTCTTTATCGTCACAATACAAGATATCAAAAACTTCACAACTTTGAATTTACCTTTTCTCAAAATTTACCCACACCAGTCTGAATTTTTTGGAAAAAATGTTTTTCGAAAATTCTTTGCCACCACAATGTAGGACACTAAAAACTGCGCAACTTCGAATCGAACTTTTTTCCCCATATCGTAGTTTCGTAAATATTCACGATCAATATGCAAACTCACAATTTTTTTTTTTTTTTTTGGAGAGGATGTTCTCACCCCCAGGACCGTTTCATTGGCGAAACAAAAAATAGTTTCGTTATCAGCACCGATTGAACTAAAATTTGCGCAGAGTTTGAAATTTTTTCAAAAAAAGAATTTTCACGTTACCGAATTTCCCTTGTCGGTTAATTAAAGAGCCTGACGAGCGGTTTCAAAAGGAACGTCATGAATATTCATTTCTATTTTCGTTGCTTAATCCCCTGGTGTTCCTTTCGCCGATTTTTTCCCCCGGGTATTTTTGCACAACGATCGATGCAACGGATAAATAGGAAAGTGATCCGTTAACAAGAAGGATTAAACGGTCGATTCACATCTCGTTTATGGCTCGTTGAACGAGACCAGATCATGTTCAAAGATTAAACTTACCAAATCAGCGTCCGAAACGGTGAGCACTATGGGACCTCCATTTTTGTCGATAACCTTTGTTCCAATCGGAGCGTTCTCATCAACGAATCCTTCTACATTCGACGCTGTTATAATTGGAGGATTGCTGTCGACTGGCTTCACGGTAATAGTCAATTTAGCTGTCGCTGATCGTTTCGCTTCGGATACTTCAACAGCCTTTTGTGAAATAAAGAAACGAGTTAGTGTACTTAAACTCGCAATTTCTTGTTGTTGGATTCTTCACTATTATGCTTGCAAGAGAGTTGAATTCATTTTTTTTAAATAATAACATATACAATAGATCATTTTTGCTGTAATTATGGAAGCAACCAATAATTTTAATATTTAATTTAATATAATATTCACGAAGGGTACTCTAAGAAAAAGTAATTTTCATTATTTATATTTCCAAAATTATTCAGTATTCGCGCCTATAATCCGTTATCAACAAGTATCAAAAATTCTACGCTTACGTCAACACTCACCTTAATGATAATATCGAATTTTTTGGTAACCGTTGTGTCGACTGCCTTGATTTGCTTCACGGCGCCGGTGTTCGGGTTTATTTCGAAAAATTCCCGGTAATTCGAGGGGCTGGCACTGAGGAAGGAATAATGAATGGGCGCATTTATGCTGTCCATATCAACAGCTTGTATTTTCTCCGGCGATATATTGAGTATCCCGGATAACACTCCGCTCGATACCTGACAGGGAAAAAGGCACAATGCATAGAACCGGTTCACCGATGGTTTAGAATAGTGTCACGCAACATTTCGAACCGAAGAAATCGGCCGCGTATTAAGAATGGAGGGTCGGTCGTCGTAGTTTAACTATGCAATGCACGATCATATGTAAGTACATGTACAGATGTGCATCGCGAGTCGTTGCCGTGGATGAAATCAAGTGTTACGTCCATTTGTGAAATTTTCAGTTGCAACGGTAGTAACTATTAAAGAGTCGTGTTGATTTTTATAGTATTTTATTGCGATATGTATTTTAAACCTTTGGACTTGTACGTGTGAAAATATTACTAATTTTGATTGTAAATTTTACTTGGCTTGATTTGTGTTGCATCGTGAAGTAACCGAAACGTGCAAAATATCTCATTCATTCCGAATCTGCTTTTATGTTTCAATTGGATATTTTGTATTTTTCAAAATTTTACATTATTAACAAGTGTAATTTAATAGGACTATCAAATAGGAAAATTAAATTCAATGCAAAATAATTTACAACAACATTTCTATATTTTCGAAAAATTTCATTTGTATTTTTTTGTGTTCGTCATTGTGGGTGTTCCGAATGATAATTTATTATTATAGAAAATTATGGATAAATACACTTACCGACGCTGAATATTCTGGATTAATGCAGGCGCCATCTAAAAGCATGCAACCCTGGTAGATGAAGGAAGGATCTTGATCATCGTCATCTCTGATATTTACAGTCAAAGTGGTGGTGGATGTGAATCTGTCGGATACATTTCTCGCTCGATCCTGTGTTTGGAAACAGATTATCGCACATTTTTTATCGCGTTATTTTATACTACTATTAATCGTAAGGTGACACAGACTTATGGTTGTGATTGTCACAATATAATATAAGGAAATACGTCAGTTTCGATTAACTTGAACAGCATTGGTAAATAAATTAACTATAAATTTGAACGAAGTACTAATGTACTAATAAAGTACACTTAATTTTCACTCAAGTATAAAATATTTATCACCTTCATATTTAACGGTGTATTTTACATTATAGCTAATGAAATATTCTGCGACGGATATTCTATTCGAATATTAATTATAACACAATGAAATAGCAAAAAACATTCTTCCTGATCACGTGATAAACATGGTTCAAATACCATTCGTCACATTCGTGCAATTCCGTAGGGAAGCTATGATAATATAAAGTGTCTCTTCATACTGAAATTGAAGTTCCTCTGTTTTACTCGCGTTTCATATTTTCCAAATTTAATTTCCCTTTGTATTCAGAAACAGACCGAACATATTTTCTCCGTATGACATGCAATACGTATATATTATACTACGGAATATAACGCCAATTTCCTGTGTGAAGAAATTCTATGTACGAAACTCGATCAAACGTGTACACACACTTCAAATTCAATTACATTTAGAGCAGCATTTTATTACTCGTTAACGTGCGATCGATTTTTTTTACTTTTTTCGAATTAGAAGAATCGTAGAAAGTCGGGAAGCCCGAGCGCAATCGTTCGCCTGGATATAGTATCTCTGGTAGATCGACAAAAGAACAAAAGTGATTATATTCGCTGATAGAACTCGCGGTTTGAAATGAAGTTTCTGTGCAAAGAGGCGAAACGTTGAAAGAATAGCGTTTTTGACACGGCTACGAATACAGGCTGAAAGCCATCGCGAGCTAAAGTACAAGCCTTATTGCCGCTTCACGGGAACCATTCTCTTTCGCTTTGCTCTCTGTTCTTTCTTCTTTCTTCTGTGTCGTAATAACGGGCGTGGCTTGTTGATCTTAATCGTGATGCGATTTCGTCCGTGACGTCAACAATGAGAGAGAAAAAATACTCGCCACTTTGTCGAGTAAGCGGGCTTCTTTTTTAATTACCGGGTATTCAATTTGGTAGCAATTTTCGTTCCAAGCGTGTCGCTTCCTTGTTTCGAGTCCACAGATGAATGTGTGTTTTTTTAGAGATCGATACTTCGTGGAAATTGAGATTCTATTTTCTAATTTTCTGGATAGTACTGTATTAATAATATTCGAAGGGAGAATTGGAAAGGAGGATGTTGAAAAAGTGCCAAATTTGTACCCCTTCAGGCACATAAAATTTTAACGAGGCATCATTCATAATTGTGCGTTTATGAGGCCTAAAGTGCCACAAATTTGGCACTTTTTTAACACTCTCCTTTCAGTTTGATCAATTTTCCCTGACACCTGACGATATTATAATTCTAACAATTATAGCTAATTTTTTCACTATTTATTTCAAATTTTGTGTAACCTCAGATGTGAAAATTTCTAAAAGAAGTTAAATTCTATATTTCGATTATTATTCAAAAATGGAATAACTTTTCATTCATAATTTTGATAATATAATAAACAAGGTTAAGGCAATTTTTAAATTTCTGTTCGAGTGAAAATTGAGGATCTAAAAGAAGGAAGAATTTTTGCAAAGACAACATTGCAAATTTATCAATAAACAAATCTGCAAATAGTGTATTGCAACTTTATTTAAGATAGCATGCGAGGTCTGTATGGATTTTCTCGAAATATTCCTCAGATCGAATACACGAAACACGCAGTATTACATTTCCGTTGGAAAGGATTTATGCAGTTCGTGGAACGAAGGACAATGCATCCAAGAAGTGGACCAGCTGTTCCACATAATATTCAAATGAGCCACACCTGTAGCGGCAGCTGTTACAGTGAGATGCATTATTCCCAGTAGGAAGAGCGATATTGCGTTTAAAGTACTCGGAAGATTCATCACGATTACACGTATTTTTGTCTGATCTCGTTGTCAAAATTGAAACGAATACAGGTAGCCCACGATGTTGTAAACCTACTCTTGTACACTAGCAGCAAACGAGTTAACCCGCTGGTTACTTATTGAGCGACAGGAATGGTGAAACAGAGAAGGAGAAAATGTGCAGGTGAAAGAATGAATAATATGGAAGATGCGTGGGAGAGTTAGTTATTAGTTGAAGTCTTTGAGTAGAGTATTGCGTTGCCTGAGTTGAATATTGCGTTGTACTTTTATACTACTTTAATATATCGCGTAGCTTTGTTGAAAAACCCTCGTTTCTATACTTTACCAGAGATAAATCTATCGAACGATCCTTTCCTATTCTACGCTTAAATGAAACTTCAATGGAATACACCACTCTGAGTCGTCTAAACGTAGCTAACTTTGCGAATTTTTTTCACCTTAATTTTGTAACATTTTTATTTTGTCGCGTAGCTTTGTTGAAAAACCCTCGTTTCTATACTTTACCAGAGATAAATCTATCGAACGATCCTTTCCTATTCTACGCTTAAATGAAACTTCAATGGAATACACCACTCTGAGTCGTCTAAACGTAGCTAACTTTGCGAATTTTTTTCAACTTAATTTTGTAACATTTTTACTTTTAAAAAATTGTGAAAATAAGTTGAAAGCTGCATTTATATCCTCTAAAAAAATTGAAACTTTTCGGGCAGTAGCTACCTATGAAAAAAATTCCCAAAGTTTGCCCTGTTTTTAGGTGCCTCTTAAGTCAAACTTCAATGAAATACACCACTCTGAGTCGTCTAAACGTAGCTAACTTTGGGAATTTTTTTCACCTTAATTTTGTAACATTTTTATTTTTGAAAAATTGTGAAAGTAAGTTGAAAGTTGCATTTATATCCTCTAAAAAAATTGAAACTTTTCGTGCAGTAGCTACCTATGAAAAAAATTCCGAAAGTTTGCCCTGTTTTTAGGTGCCTCTTAAGTTAAACTTCAATGAAATACACCACTCTGAGTCGTCTAAACGTAGCTAACTTTGCGAATTTTTTTCAACTTAATTTTGTAACATTTTTACTTTTAAAAAATTGTGAAAATAAGTTGAAAGCTGCATTTATATCCTCTAAAAAAATTGAAACTTTTCGTGCAGTAGCTACCTATGAAAAAAATTCCCAAAGTTTGCCCTGTTTTTAGGTGCCTCAGGGCGGTGCACCCTTTTAAATGGCATTCAATCGCGAGATACCACGCGATGCAATGCCGTCTGATTGATAGAGACGTTAATGGTAGCTTATTTAATACCTAGCCAAGATCTGAGTCGATGAATGTACGACACAGCTAGGTCGTTATATACATCATACGATGTCAATGTCGAAGTTAAAGGATTCTATTGCACGGCGTAATCCGTGCACGATCAACATACCTAGTGGTCACTCACCATTAAAACGGCGGCTACGTCGTCGACATCCGGCCGCACTAGTAACACGAACAGCAGCACTTTCATCGCGTTAAAAGGTTCCATGGTCGATTATCTAGGATGCTGTCTTTTATCCAATTTTATCTGTTAATTTTATCGATACACTCTCTTTCTCTTTCAACCGTGCGTGTTATTTTCTATTTTAACCTCGAGGCTGTTCCGTCAGTTTTGCGAACTTCCGTTGGGTGAAAACTTAAAACGCGTCCTAAGAATCTTGCGCATTAGAGAGTAACAAATGTACGAAGCAGTTAGCACACTTCTTGTATCGCATTTGTAACTGGCAGTTGGCTGTGTCGCTCGTCAAACCGGTCATACATCCTTAACATTGGTATTTAAGCATTGTAAATTATAACATTCCTGCAGCGGTGTATAAATCATCATCCTTTTGGATAAGTATGCAGGATACATGATATATCACTTGGGTTCGGAATGTTTCGCACGTTACTTGGCCGTTCTATGAACCGATTAATGAGAATAATTGTTAATTTATGACTGTGCTGAATGTAATTCTACGTGGAAAACTGGTTCATCGAGAACCGACTGATTTATCTGACAAATCTCTGCTCTACAACGGATAAATTGCTTTTAATTCTATTATCAAATTGTTTGCATTTTATTCTTTGTTGCGTATATTCACTCTCAGAATTTGCTCTTATTGTCGTTCGTAAACATGTGCGAGATAAACCTGTCTGCAAACGAATAACCAAGATAAATGAAGACAGCTTCTATGACAAGCCCATCGCACGATTCTTGCCCTCCATTCCGAAATACCGCACGTTAGGAATCTCCAGCATCCTGACGCTTAATACAGCCTCGTGATGCGAAGCCGATGTTGCAATGTTGGAATAAACTGCACAATGCAGCGTTATGACGTATTATAATACACGTCTGCCGCGTACACTCTGTTTCATAAGTACCGAAACACTTACCGAATGTGAAGGAAATTTATTTAAAAAGAAAAATCATTCATTCTGGAATTTGGTAGCGCAAGGAGTGTATACGATAAAACTAGTAAATATCGATTTTCATTTAAGGTACGTCGTAAAAATGAGATCCTAACGGTGTGTCATTGATTATGCCACGCCAAACGTTGTCACGAAATTGAGTTTGAAAATGAGTTTTGTGGTAGGTCGTTGAACCTGTCTCGCCAGCCACTTTCATATAATAGGTGTCCATAAAAGATTGTGTCCTATTGAAAAATGTATTGTGGTACGAGGGGTACTTTCTATTGTAAAAGTGAAGATAATCTCTTCAAGTTTTTAAGCGTACCCCACGAAAACTCGATATGTGCACTGTTTACAAAAGAAAAATGAAAATTCCGTTCAAGTGTGATAGCTAGATTGCGGATTATTATACGAATTTATATTTTTGAGAATATAGTAGAGAAAGTGAATTTACGGTAGAAAATTATTTCACCTCCCAGGTATTACAAACAGTTGAAAAAGAAATTTTGTTTTAAATGAAAAATTTTTTTAAATTTCATAAAAACATTACGTGCATTCCGTGCGATTTCGTATCTTTAAATTTCCTATAAATGCATA